GAAATGGTGGGAAAGGCATTCCAAGCAGAGGGAACCACACGAGCAAAGGCTGGGCAGTATGAACTAGCCTGATGTGTTCCACATGCAAAGAGTGTCCAGTCACAGAGAGCTTTCTGTACTGAGCTGAGGAAGCTGAGCTGTACCCAGTGAGCAGTGGTGATCCACCAGGGACCTGCCATGGAAGCTGGAGGAAGGCTAGATGTGAGAGAGGTTGGATGACAGATGCAGGTGCTGAGCACCTGAAGCTATGATCCAGGCAGACTGCGAGGTCCTGAGTTAAGGCAGCAGCAGGACGGAGACTATGTTTGCTGAGGTTGGAAGCAGAACCAAAGGGCTCCAACAGTAACCAGATGTCAGGGCTGGAAGGAGAGGACTGACTCCTGGCTTCTGGTTCAGGCATCTGGACAGACCATGGTGCCCCTGGACAAGGTAGGTAGCCAGGAGGAGGAGCAACTTGGGAGAGGCACTGAGTTTTGTCGCAGGGCAGTTGAGTTTTAGGGAGCTGGGAGGCAGGCCAGTAAACCCGAGTGTGGAGCCCAGAGGAGAGTGAGAGCTGAGAACCATCAACGGGAGTGAGGCAGGGAGTCTATGCAGAACCCTGAGGAACTACAACACAGGAGGAATGGGAAGAGTGCAAGGAGTCTTCGAGACTTGGAGACTTGGAGAAAAAGTGATGAGAGAGGTGGGAGGGGAGCCAAGAGGGCGGCAGCCTTATGGTGGTGAAGAGAGCAGGGGTGAGGGTCACAGCCTGCCAGGGAGGGTGCCATACTTTACATCATCTTTACAACAGTAATAACAGGGAGGCAAAAAGTTTGTTCATATCATTTTAAATATCCTTTGTTTTATATTTTATTAGTTTTCAACAATAGATTTCTTAAAATATGGAACTAAAATTTTCCTTAGAAGAATCCTCTGTGCCCTGGCCAGTGTGGCTTGTTAGTTGGAGCATGGACCCATAAACCAAAAGGTTTGCATGCTTGATTCACAGTCAGGGCACGTACCTAGGTTGTAGGTTCAGTCCCCAGTCAGGGCACATAAGGGAGGCAACCATTCAATGTTTCTCTCTCACATCAATGTTTCTCTCCCTCTTTCTTTCCCTCCCGCCCTCCTCTTTAAAATCAATAAGCATGTCCTAATGTGAGGATTAAAAAAAAATCCCCTCCTACCTCCTCCAAGATGGAGGTCTAGGTAGATACACTTTGCCTCCTTGCACAACCAAAAGAAGAAGAACAATAAACTTACAAACAAAAAACAACCAGAACTGCCAGAAAATTGAACTGTACAGAGGTCCAACAACCAAGAAGTTAAAGAAGAAACATTCATCCAGACCATTCATCCAGTAGGAGGGGCGGAGACGGGCAACCAGGGCAGAGGGGATGTGCAACAAGTCAGTGGTTGGAGGTCCAGGTGGTTCCACATTTGTGTGGGGGTAAATCCAGGAGGAACAACTAGGGAGCCAGACAGATTGGGCAACCTGGGGTTCCAGCAAGGGAAACTAAAGCCTCAAAACCTCTGGCTGTAAAAATCTGTGAGGGTCGCGGTGGCAGGAGAAGCTGCCAGTCTCACAGGAGCATCCGCTGGAGGGGTCCACAGAGTCTTAGAGTCTACACAAGCCCAACCACCAGGGAATCCGCACCAGGGAAGGACCTCAAAGGGCTCGATTCACTTTTGGGTAGTAGGGGAAGTGACTGAAAGTGGGGCAAGAGCTGAGAAAGAGAGCAAGTGGCATTGTTCCCTCTCTGACCGTTCCTCCACATACAGTGCCACAGCACAGCAAAGTGAATACCTAAGGCTCCCCCCCCTTACAATGTAACAGGTGTGCTGAGACAAAGAAATATGGCCCAAATGAAAGAACAGGTCAAAATTCCAGAGAAAGAACCAAGCAATGAAGAGATAGCCAACATATCAGGCGCCAAGTTAAAAACACTGGTAAGCAGGATGCTTACAGAAATTATTGAGTTTGGTCGCAAAATGAAGGAAGAAATGAAGGCTATACAAAGTGAAATAAAGGAAAATATACAGGGAACCAACAGTGACGGGAAGGAAACCAGAACTCAAATAAAAGATTTGGAACAGAAGGAAGAAAATAAACATTCAATTGGAACAGAATAAAGAAACAAGAATTCAAAAAAAATGAGGAGAAGCTTAAGAACCTCTGGGACAACTTTAAACATTTCAACATCTGAATCATGGGGGTGCCAGAAGGAGAAGAGAAAGAGCAAGAAATTTAAAACTTATTTGGAAAAAATAATGAAGGAGAACTTCCCCAATCTAGCCAAGGAAATAGGTTTCCAGGAGATCCAGGAAGTTCAGAAAGTCCCAAAGAAGTTGGATCCAAGGAGGAACACACCAAGACACATCATAATTAAATTACCCAAGATTCAAGATAAGGAAAGGATTTTGTTTTTAAGATTTTAATTATTTATTTTTAGACACAGGGGATGGGAAGGGGAGAGGGGGAGAGAGAGAGAGAGAGAGAGAGAGAAATCAATGTATGGTTGCCTCTCCCATACCCCCTACTGTGGATCTGGCCTGCAACCCAGGCATATGCCCTGACTGGGAATCAAACTGGTGACCTTTTGGTTACCAGGCCAATGCTCAATCCACTTAGCCACACCAGCCAGGGAAAAGATAAGGAGAGAATCTTAAAATTAGCAGGAGAAAAGGAGAGAGTTACCTACAAATGAGTTCTCATAAGACAATCAGCTGATTTCTCAAAAGAAACCTTATAGGCAAGAAGGAACTGGAAAAAAGTATTCAAAGTCATGAAAGACAAGGACCTACATCCAAGGTTACTCTATTCAAACTCTGGAAAGGCAGATAAAGTGCTTCCCAGACAAGGTAAAGTTAAAGGAGTTCATCATCACCAAGCCATTATTATATGAAATGTTAAAGGGACTTATCTAAGGAAAAGAAGATCAAAACTATTAAAAATGACAGCAAGCTCTCAACTATCAACAACTGATCCTAAAAACAAATCAAACAACTAGAGCAGGAACAGAATCACAGAAATGGAGATCACGTGAAGGGTTATCAGCAGGGATGGGGAGGAGGAAGAAAGGGGTAAAAGGTACAGGGAATAAGAAGCATAATTGGTAGGTACAAAATAGACAGGGGGAGGTTAAGAACAGCATAAGAAATAGAGAAGCCAAAGAATTTATATGTACAACACATGGACATGAACTATATGGGGGGGTGCTGGTGGGAGGGGGTGCAGGGCAGAGGGGAAGAAAAGGGAGGAAAAAAAATGGGACACCTGTAATTGCATAATCAATAAAATATATATATTTTTTAAAAAACAGAAGGGCGGTCACCTGATGTCTGGCATCCTCTCCCGGCCACACCCTCTGAGGGGCCATTAGTCAGAAATCATCAGCTGGTTATTCCACAATTGTGGCCACAGTCTGTGGATTTGCATTTGATTTGCATAAGGGTGTCACAAATACACATATATCTTTCCTACAACTCCCATCCCGTCTTTCTCTCTCCTCTGGTTCTCTGTCTCACTCACATATATGCTCAGAGCCAGGCTCTCCTCCTTGAGATGCTTGGCGGCCTGGGGAGCACCATCTGGTCTCCTCCATCTGCCAAGGACACCTTTGCTGGTTCAGAGTGTTCCTTCCCACCGGTCACTACACAGGGCCCCAAGTCGGGGAGCAAATCTGAGGGGAAGCTGACTGGAGGAGTTGCTGCATGCTAAGAAGCCCCACTTCAACCTACAGCCTCAGGGCAAAGGGCAGGAATGAACAAATGGGTTCTCCAGCCCCAGATGCCTCCTCTGTCTTCTGTCTTCTCTCTTCAGCCCCAGATTTAGCTGCCTTTCCACCTCCCACGACTTCCTGCTGCTGTCTGGAATGCTGGGAGGCTAGAGAACTAGAAGGAAGACTGGGATGGGGAGATTGAAGGGAGGGGGCCCAGAGCTTGAGCCCTCAGAGGGGAGAAGGAACAGAAGGTGCTGGCACCCTGGACAGGGAGTGAGTCCCGTTACCCTCTCCTTACTGTCCCAGCTGCACTGTCCAAACAGTAGCCACCAGCTACTTTCGATTTCGAAGGCTTTGTATGGAAAAATAAATATAAAATACTTCAATAATGTTAATATCGATGTCATATTTAAATGTTAATGCTTTGGACATATTGGGTTAAATATAAAATTAATTTCACCTGTTTCTCTTTACTGTTTTAATGTGGCTACTAGAATATCTAAAGTAGTATATGTGGCTTACATTGCATTTCTGTTGGCCAGAGCTGTTCTCAGCCCATCCTCCCAGCCAGGGAGTTACTTTTCTGTAAAATACTTACTGCAGGGAGCTCTTTTGCACTAAATAGTTCTTTCTTATACCTTGGTCTTTGGTAATACACACCCCTACCTCTTACCCTCAAAGGGGTAGTACAATGTAGAGGTAAGAATATAAACTTGATAGACTAGTTAAAGTCCATTCTTGTTATTTTTAAGCTGTGTGACAGAGAGCAAGTAAATTAATCACCCTATACTTCAGCTTCACATCAGAAAAAAATAGGAATAATACATGGGCCTATCTCAAAAAGTCTTTGGCAAAGATTAAATGAGTTAATATGCATACTAAAAAGAGTGTCCTGCATACAGTAATTGCTTGTAATTACCATGTAGTTATCATTATCTAAAATTTGGGGTTGTTCTTGCTACAGTTTCATGTATCACAGTATACAATACCTCTTTGGGTGCATTCACTCCTCCCAGTCATCTTGTTGGTAACTGTAATTCTCATTTCACAGACGAGGCATCTGAAACAGAGAGGTTTAGTAACTTGCCCAAGGCCACATAGCTAGTCAGAGGGGTTTGCACCTGAATCTACTCTACTCCAGAGACTGAACCTTAAGAACCACTCTGTGTTACCTCTCTTGGTAAATGCCTGCCAAGACCCTCCAAAGTAACATCTCTATCCCCTCCCCTGGCTCCAGGTTCCCACCAGCGTTAAGGACCTACCAAGGGGTCGCCTGTCCCTACGTCACCAGATACCAGCATGCAGAAAATCCTAACACCAACAACCTCAGCTTGCAACCAGTCCACCCAGGACCGGTGCACGACTGCAGGCCAAGCTTTTAGCTCAGGCTCAAGGACCTCGAAGTCCTCAGCCATCCCACCCCCCGTGAAGTCCAGGGGCCCGAATTCTGGGGCCAATGCGCATCAGATGCGCAGGATCATCGCCGAGGATGCTGAGTGGTCGCTGGCCACCGTGCCCCTGCTCACAGAGCTCTGCATTCAGCACATTGTCAAGAATTTCCAGAGTGAGTCTGTTCCTGCTGGTGGCAGGAGGGAGGCTGCCAGGAGCGCAGGGCAGGGTGGGTGGGGGCTGCCTGGAGGAGAGGCCTCAGAGGCTGGGTCCTGGGGCAGCCGTGCCATCCCGCACAGAGTGCTCACCCATACTCAACACTTCCCTTCGTCCCTGGAGCCAAGACAGTTTCTCCTGCTGTCCCCACTTCCAGCCCCACTAGAGTCTTACCCACAATGTACCCTCCATGTCTATGCCCTCTCCTCACCTTTCCTACTCTTTTCAACAAAACCCAGCCCAAACCCTATTTACCTCCCCCTCTAGAAAGCCCTCTCTGGTTAACTGGCCTTTACTCTCTTGGAGTCTTCCGTGGTGTGTATATTTTCTTGGTTTGTTCTGTACAATGTGTGCTGTAGACGTTCATCCTTTTCAAAGACAAATTGCGAGCTTCTCCTACTGGATGAGGAGCTCTCTGAGGACAGGGCCAAATTTTGTCTGCAATATCTATCACCACCTAACTTACTTGTTTCACTTGTTTATTGTCTGACTCCCCTCTTAGGAGGGAGCGGCTTCCTCTGTTTCATTCGCTCTTACACCCTCAGCACTTAGAACAGTGTCTGGCAAATAGCAGGTGCTAGAATTTTGTTTGTTTGTTTGTTTGTTTTGAAATGAATGGATCAAATCAAATTGGGAGCCTCTGAAGTCAGGGATTGTCCCCTCCATCAGACTAAGTGATGACTGAGGGCTGGACCTAAGATTCTTCCTCAGGCTGGGAGTTCCCTGAGACCAGCAGCTAAGATGTCAACTTTCAGGCAAGGAAAATCCCAAAGCCAGGGGCTGGGTCTTCCCTGTCAGACAGCACCTCCCTGAGAGCACAGTCTGTCTTCCCTCCCAGACTGGGGCTCCCAGAAGGCAGGGGGTGTTTTCCTTTTTCTCGGGGCCCCCAGGCGGGCCCAGCCCAGGTCACCCTGTGGCGGTTTCCCCAACACTGTGACTTCTGCTTTCTTCTCCCGTTCCCAAAGACAACCCTGTCCTGAAGCAGCTGCTCCCAGGACACCAGCAGAAGGTCCTGAACCACCTGTCCCCTGACCTACCACTGGCCGTGACTGCCAACCTGATCGATGATGAGAGCTACTGGCACCGCTGCTGCATGCAGCGCTGGCCCGTGTGCCACTTGGACTGCCACGGCGGCAGCTGGAAACGCATGTTCTTTGAGCGGCACCTGGAGAATCTGATAAAGCATTTCATCCCAGGCACCACGGACCCCGCCGTGATCCTCAACCTACTGCCGCTCTGCAGACACTATGTGCGTAGGGTCCGGGTGGATCAGTTCCTTCCACCAGTGCAGCTACCACCTCCGCCACACAATGGGGACCAATCTGACTCCGGCAGCGAGGGAGAGATGGAGGAGCCCACCATGGACCACTACCAACTGGGTGACCTGGTGGCTGGCCTGAGCCAGCTGGAGGAGCTGGACCTGGTGTATGGTGTCAAGGACTGTGGCATGAACTTCGAGTGGAACCTCTTTCTCTTCACCTACCGTGACTGCCACTCCTTGGCGGCTACCATCAAGGCATGCCGCACCCTCAAGGTACCATCCATCCCCCCTCCCCGCCAGGCCTTCCCCCATTTCCCATTCTCTGCATTTCTCTGATTCCCTCTCACCTCCTCTTCCTCTTTCTCAACTATTGTCATCTTCTTCCTCTCATTTCCTTATTCACTGACCGAATGTCCATCCCTCTCTGCACCCTGCACCCAGCTGCGTTCTGGGGATGCAGAGATGAACAAGGCACTGCCCTCCCGGCTCACCAGCTATTTATTCATTCAACAACCATCTGCGCTCTGGGCTCTGTCCTAGGTGCTGAAGATTCAGCATTGAAGATTCAGCATTGAGCAAAATTATACCATTTGTGCCCTCTGGAGCTAACTGTCTAGTGCAATAAAAGACACTAATCAGCAATCATGTGAATGTAAAACTGCAACTAGGATATTTGCCAGATTTAGCACAAAAAAGAAACAGGACGTCCAGTTAAATTTGAATTCCAGATACATATTGAATGATTTTTTTAGTATAAATATGTCCTAAATATTCTGATTGGTAGAGGGAGAGCCTGCCAGGAAATCAGAGAAGAAAAGGGGACATAGCATTGTGTCCCCTCTTTATGTCACCAAACCAAGGGAGGAGTGCGCTTCAAGGAGAGGAGGCGAGCAGCAATGGGGTGGGATGGAGCGAGGGCTGGATTTAGCAAACACGAAGGTTATGTGGTGGGGGCAGGGACAAGAAGCTATGTCACTGGGGTGCCAGGAGCAAAATGGCCAGATCACAGTGGTTTATGGAGAGAGTGGGAAGTGAGGACACGGGATGTCTGTGGTCAACTTTTTCAAGAACTTGGTTGTGAAAGAGGAGAGAGGCAGAAGAACAGAAACAGATGAAGGGTTGGGGTTTTCTTAAGAAAAAATGTGCATGTGTTTAAAACCAATGTGATTTTCATCCAATTGCAAGAAGTGGGTTGAGTCCAGGACAGAGGCACGGGTTCATTGACCATGGAAGGTTCCTGGGGAGGCAGGTGCGGTGGGATCCAGGACTGAGGTGGGCAGTTGGCTCTGGGCAGAGGGGAGAGTGGAGGAAAATAAGGCATTCCCATTCAATGGCTGCAGAGGCAGGGGGAGATTTACGTGCTGCAAGGAGGCTTCAGGGTGGTCCCCGAAGTTTGAGGAGGCTGGAGAAGGTTGAAATTGTAGATTATCACAGAGTATGTTGGCGAGAGAAAGAGAATTGGATCAGCACACAGCCTCGAGTGTGTTATTGGTGGTTCCAGTGAAACCAGCTAGTTCTATCACATAACATTTTCCATCATGTCAGTTGTCTGGGTGCAGAAAATAGACAGTGGGCTGGATCCAGGGTTGGAACTTTGCCAGACAGATGCAGTGAAAAGGTGAGAAAGACAAAGGACTCTAAGCTGGCTTAGAGAGGTGAAAAGAAAGAAGAAGACTGAAGGATCAGGAGAGAGTAGACAGGCCAGTCACTCCGAGGTCTCAAGAAAGAGAAAGGAGTGGTACAAGTCAGTGAGAAGGGATAGGAGTTCCCATCTCTCATATTCAGAATGCTATCCTCCACCCTCTCTTTTATCTTTTTACTTCATCCCATCCATTTCCTGGCTCTCACCCTTCCCACTTTCTCCCTGGTTCTTACCCTGGCCATCTTTTTTGAAAAGTTCCTCTCCTTGCCATGGTGGATCTTAGCCAGCTGTAGAGTGGGCAGCAAGGGACTGCAGGGTCAAACGGACCTGGATTCAAAACTTGTCTCCACACCTTAATCACAGTGTGACTCTGGACACATGATATGTTCGCCCTAAGCCTCCATTTTCTGTCTGTAAAATGGAGATAACTCATTCTACCCCACTGGGATGCTGAGGGAGAGAGATAGTGGTTGTGAAATGTTCTAGCAGCATGTCCAGCACATAGTTATTTCTCAAGAAATAGTAGCCTTTTCCCCCTACTGCCTGCCATCAATTCTGTGCCACTCTGCCATGCTAGCTGCACCTGCCCTGCCCAAGAGCTTGCCAGGTGGCCAACACCAGGTGCACAGAACCTCAGGCTTCACTTTGGCTCCCTCTTCTACCTGCAGAAGGGAGGTAGGCAGGCAGGTTACCCCTGGCTACCAAGTGCTATGGACCCTTTACTTGCCCACAGATCTTTAGGCTGACCCGGAGCAAGGTGGGTGATGACAAGGCACGCACCCTAATTCGCAGCCTGCTGGACCACCCAGCCCTCGAGGAGCTGGACCTGTCACACAACCTCATTGGGGACCGTGGTGCACGTGCTGCCGCCAAGCTGCTGAGCCACAGCCGCCTGCGTGTGCTCAACCTGGCCAACAACCAGGTGCGTGCGCCCGGTGCCCAGTCGCTGGCTCACGCTCTGGCACACAACACCAGCCTCCTTTCTCTCAACCTGCGCCTCAACTGCATTGAGGATGAGGGCGGCCAGGCACTTGCCCATGCCTTGCAGACCAACAAGTGCCTCACCACCCTGCACCTTGGCGGCAACGAACTTTCTGAGCCTACAGCCACACTCATCTCCCAGGTGCTCTCTGTCAACACCACGCTCACCAGCATCAACCTGTCCTGCAACCACATAGGACCGGTGAGCCAGAGCTCCTGGGGCAGGCAGAGCCAAGGAGAGGCCCTGGGGCCTTGAGGGTAAGGGGTGGACTCCAGCTGTCATGGGTTGGATGCCAGGTGATTGTTAAGATCGCAGACTTTACGTGGTTCGAATCCCAGCTCTGCCATTTAGGACTTCAGTTAAGCTACTTAACGTTTTTGGGCCTCCATTTTCTCATCCATAAAATGGGGATAATAATAGTATCTACTTCTGAATGTTGTTACTGGGAGGGTTCAATGTGTTATACTTGTAAAGCAGTTAACCATTGCAGGCACTGTCTAGGTCCTCAGTAATTGTTAGCTGTTGTATCACTAGGGGTTATATAAGTATACTATGCTCAGTACCTAATATCCATTAGTTTTCCTTTAATCCTCACAGTTGTCTAGTAAAATGTGTATTCTTAAGCCCATTTTACAGGTGGCAAATTGTCTCAGAGACATTGGTGATTTGCCTGAGAACATCCAATCCGTAGGAAGTGGCAGAGCTGTGATTAAACCCAGGACTGATTGAAAGCCAGGGTTCTTTCCAATAGACAATGTTTCTCAATTTTCTTGATCAAATCTCAGAGTAAGAAATGCAATTTACATGAATACCTAGTGAATATATACGTAAATATAATATAATTGAAATTTACTTTTACTGCTTGGTATGTCTGCTGATGTTTTCCTTTATAGTCTATTTTTTTTTTAAAATAAATGCTTCTGTATTACGCTGACTCTGCAACACACTGCTGGGTCACAGCCTCAAGCAGCAGCACCCTGCCTCCCAATGCAAAACTCCTTCACACTGGGCCTAGCCCACCCAACCCAGAAGGGGCTGAAGCTGTGAGGAGTAGGCAGGAGGGCCCTCTGGATGCATCAGTTAAGGCCCTGTACCTTCTACCAAACCTCCTCATTGAACAGTCTTTCTCACACTCACAGTGTCTCCGGAGCGGGTGCTCTTGGAATTGGCTTAAACAAGAGGAATATTCATAATATGTCATTATCAGAAGCCCCAGGGGAGGGGGTTCCGGGGGTTGGGAAATTCCTTGGCTCGGTGCCAGCCTCTGCTCCTACCGTCCCAGCCACGTGGTCGTGGCCTCGCTGGCTCTCCTCCTGTGGTCCCAAGATGGCGGCTGCCCCTCGCATAGAACAAAATAGAATGAAAAACTTCAGTGTGCTGCACGAATATGTTATGTACTATTTTGTGGAACTTCTGTTCCAGTCACATCTATGTGTAAAGAAAGAAAGAAAGAAAGAAAGAAAGAAAGAAAGAAAGAAAGAAAGAAAGAAATGATCCTTTCCTTGTACTTCTCTCTCAGGATGGTGGGAAGCAGCTCCTGGAAGGCATGTCAGACAACAGAACCCTACTGGAGTTTGACCTGCGCCTGTCCAATGTAGCCCAGGAGAGTGAGTACCTCATTGGCCAGGCCCTCTGTGCCAACCGTGAAGAAGCCCGCCAGCGGGTCCTGAATCCCGGCCACTTCCTGTCGCCACTCACTGAGAAGGGCTCTGAGAACCCTGCAGGATAAGGTAGGAGGCAGGGCTGGGGCAGTAACCGGGCTGGGGTCACTGCCCCACCACCACCCTTCGTTCCTTGCTCCCACCCTGCCTGCTGCAGAGTGTCACACTGGCTCACAGGGAGGAAGGGGGAGACCATGAAGATCTTTGGAGTGTAATCAAGGGTTGTGTGCATAAAGATGTGAGGAAGGGAGGAGGCCCAGAATGAGGGAGAAGGGGTATGAAGTGGGACCCAGCCCCCTAGCCAGGGAGAAGGTATTACCAGACCCCCTAAAATAAATTATTTCTTCCCGGTACAGGGAGAGGCAGAGAGAACTCTGAGGGACTGTGCCTGCCCAGACTCTCCCACAGGCCCACCTATGTCCCTGACCCCCATGCCCACCATTTTCCTCTTTACTGAACAGATCTTTGACTTCCTTCAAACAGGTATGTGCGCACACACGTGCGTGTGTGTGCACACACACACACACACACACCATTTATTCTCCCTGCCCCTAGTCCTGCTAAAGCAGAACCTTGCCTGGCTCTTCCACCCTCAGCCCTGCAGATGCCGCCTCCCTATTACTCGACTCTGCTTGAGTAATCCCAGTTCTGCAGGCTGTGACATCCCCTAATCGTTCCCCACAGCCTGGGAAGGGGGAAACAGAGGTGACAGGAGGGACTCAGGCCAACCTCCCCACACAGCTTCTCATGGGAGGGTAAGATGGTGGGGGAAGTGCCATGCTGGGAAGGGAAGTCAGTGAGTCATCCGAAACTTTATTATCCACCAGTTTGATTTGTACAATCTTTGCGCTTGGAAATCCACGACAGAAAGGCCACAGTGTGATGCACCCAGTTGACAGAGACCTGTCTTCTCCCAGCCAGGCCCAGCCCACCCCACAAGCCCTTGTCCTCAGGACACAGGGAGCCTTCCAGGCCCCCTCCACGAGTCCCCGTCACTCTGTGGCTGCCCACCCTGGAGCCACAGTCACAGAAACTGCATCAATCCACGGGGCCATGAGAGGGCCTGACTGATGGATTCAGGCTGAGCCCCATCTCCCATCCTCCTCAGGCTGAGGGGCCCCACAACCTCCAGATCTGTTTTCAAAGGGTGGGTCATAGGCTGCAAGCACAGCCTCGAGGTGCCTGCTCTCTGGGGACTCCTCCCAACAAGCAGGCGCTGAGCAGAGCACCAGAGGGGGCTTGGGAGTGACTGCAAATGTGTGCCTGTCCGGGCAGCCTAGAGTCTGACTGTGCCTGACACCCTCTGACAGTTCCAGAGTGCAAATGTGTAGGTGTGAGGGAGAGTGTGTGTGTACATAGCCACAGCTGCTAGCAGAGGTTCTAATTAGAGAAACAAGAATATTCAGTGTAAAGTTTAATTTTAGATTAATTTTCTGGTTTTCCTTTTCCCTGGCAATCAATAAAGCTACCGAGGAAAAAGAAGAATTCGTTTCTAAGTCTGTGCATGTGTGGGAGATGAGGCTGTCTGTGTGAGAAAACCTAGGCAGAAACGTTCAGTCCAGGCAAAAGTAATAATAGCCCCCCCCCCCCGCCCTTTACCTCCTCCCAGCTCCGGTTCTGTCTCAGAACTGAGCCTGAGGGAGGAGCTGAGTTCCTCCCTCCTTGGAGCCAGGAGGTAGCCAGGCCACCCCCACACAAGGGCAAGACATCCAGGTGCCAGCTGGCCGAGAACTGGGGCCTGAGGCCACAGCTCACCATCTGTACCTCACAGATGTCCGCTCAGAGGAAAGAGGGGTGCTCCAACCGCCAGGCCTCCGAGGAGCACAGACTCGGGGTCCAGGCGGGTTCAGTGCAGGTAGGCAGGTGGGCACTGCTGTCCAGGGAACCATAATGGGCAGCAGCACCCTCCTGCCTAAGCCTCCTCTTCTCCGGCCTTCAGCCATCTCCACAGGAAAATAACACTCAACTGCAATGGGCCACAGACCATGGCGTCCCCACAACCTGTGCCTCCCAAGTGCCCCCAGGGGAAGGAGGACAGGGGAGCCAGAGATGTTGCATAGGTGGAGGCCATGCCCTTGGTGGGTACAGGCCTAGCTTGGCTGGGGGAAGATGGGAGATGGTGCAGGCGGGGAAGAAGGAGCTCTGATAGCTTAGGCAAAGTGAGAAGCTTCAGGGGTGAGCAATGTCAGGCAGCTCAAGGGTTATCCTCTCCAGCTTGAAATATGAGCTCAATCCCTAGGCACTAAGTCTGCGGGGAAAACTTTAGCAGGAGGAGTTGGGAGGGCGGGGTGGGGGATGGTTGTACACAGACATGCACACTGAAGCACATCAGGGTGGGAGTGGAGGAGACATCAGAACTTTCGGGGAACAGGCTGTGGGGCAGGGCTCTGTGGTAGCAGCAGAATGCCCCTTTGAAGACCCTGGGGCACATGGGCTTCTTCAGCTCAGGGGAGGATGGAGGAATTGGGCAAGATTTAGAGAATCTGACTCTGACCCTGCCACTGGAATTGAGTATTTCTCCAACTGGGGCTTGTGACAAGGTCCTCAGCCCCGCAGAGGCGACGATGTGTGGGCTGCTCCCCACAGACACGTCCTCCTTTGGAGGTCCTTCCCCTCCATCCTCCACTGCCCTCTCCTCTGACTCCCATCATGCTCCCAGAGCTCCCCACTGTCACTCAGGCCCACCCCCACTCTCGCCACTCAGTCATTCACTTTGACCAGCTTTACAGAATGCTGCCTGGGTGGGATCTCACCCTCTTTGAAGGGGGTGCCCCACTAGAACCCAGCGAGAAGACTGCGGCCCAGAGGACTGAGGAAGCACTGAGGTACACTGCCCTGCCCCTGCCCCCCTGGCAACAGCTCCTCAGAGCCAGGGAACAGGAGGGAAGGGAGGAGAGCAACATCTGTGTCTCTCCAGGACCCAGGCTCCAGGGCTCAGGGAAATAAACAGTGGTGGGAGGGGCAGAAAGAAAACCCCCTTCTTTGCAGCACGAGCCAAAAAAGGGTAGTAACATTCCCACGGTTTGGAGATGGAGTATCGGTTTTGAGATGGGGGGTGACACCCGGTCCCGGCTGCAGAATTCGTTGCGGGTTGGAAGCCAGCCTGGCTGTTCACCAAACCAGGGCCCCCTTAGTAGAGACAGGCCCTAGGAAGCCAGGCAGCAGAAGAAGGAAAGCCCCAGTTGCCCTCCCCCACAGCCTCTGAACCTCCCCCGCTGCACGGCAAGGGCCTCTCACACGAGGCCAGGCCCAAGGCGGGTCCCACAGCACAGTCGCCACATAACAGTCAGAAGACCCGTTGAAAGGCTGGACAGGAAATCTCGACTGTGCCTCTAGGAAGGGGAGGTGTACTCTCAGGAACTCAGGGGCGGGGATGAAAGAGCCAACTCTGCCCCGGTGGGATTCTGCAGGAACTGCCGACCCCCTCCCACCCATCTGTCTCTTTATGTACAGGGCAGGCGGGGTCTCATCCCCATGGAGTCTGTCCCGCTCACCCTTGCCTCCCCCAAACACCCACCGTGCCCAGCACAGCCTCAGTCGTCATCGTGACTCCCCCTGCTACAGGCAGGGGGCACAGTCTGGCGAGGGGCAGGAGGGAGAGTGGCGGGCCTGTCGCGGGCCTTTGGTCACAGTGAGGTCTCCACGCAGGACCCATGGCGGTGCAGCGGCCGGTGGCTGTGGCCCAGACACCCCTCCTGCCTGTGCACGATGAGTACTGGAAAGTAGAGGGCGTCGTGGTAGGGCGGCGGCGGCCCAGCCTCCTCCTCGTCGTCGTCCTCGTCGTCCCCCATGCTGGCCTGGCTCGACAACCGCGTCTGCTCCGTGGGACAGCTCGCCTCGTTGACGCTTCCGCTTCGGCTGCGCCACAGGCAGCTGCGCCGCGAGCCATAGAGGCGGCCGAGCGAGAAGCGGCTGCCCCCGCAACCGGGCCCTCCGCCGGGCCCCGGGCCGACCCGCGGGCTGGCGCAGATGCTTAGGGCGCTGCGCGAGAAGATGGACGAGCTGCTGACCGCACGCTGACAGTGCTCGCAGCTGCGCCGGTACGGGGCCACGCCCGCCGCGCCCGGGCCGCCCACCCCGCCGTAGCGGCACATAGGCGTGTAGCCGCCGGCCCCGTCCCCTGCGCCGCGCGCCCCCAGCCCGGCCAAGTCCATGAGTACGGCCTCCGAGTAGCTGGGCACCAGCTGCTGGTTGGAACGGATGTGCCACTCGAGCTCCGTGCTGTCCACCGTGTTAACCCGCGGCAGGCGGTGGGTGAGCGGGGGCAGCAGCTCGTCGCTGGGGCTCAGGCCGCCGCCCGCGCTGCTGGCCGAGCCCGGGCCCTCCAGTCCAAAGAGCTTCTCCACGTGGTAGTGCGCGTAGGCCGTGCGGTACTCAGCCAGCACGCGCAGCGGCCACGACAGTGTCAGCAGCGCCGCAGCCCAGAAGGCCGACGAGCAGGCGTACCACGGCGGCCTGGCCGGGTCCGGGAAGGCCACCATGAACTCGCGGAAGTCCACGTTCTTGAGGTGCATGCCCTCGCGCGCCTCCATGTAGTCGTCCAGGCCCTCGTTCTCAGCGAAGAAGCGCGCCCGCTGGCACAGATAGGCGTTCTCGGCCTCCACACTGGCGAAGCTGAAGCACTTGGTGAAACGCAGCCGCGTGGCCGGCGCGCCCTCCAGCCCCACCAGCGCCTTGGACACGTCGCGGACACCACAGCGCGCGTAGTCGAACTCAGCCTCTGCCACGTGCGTGTTGACACGCTCATGATAGACCTGCGGCGTGGGGGAAGAAGGCGGGGGTCTCTTATGTCTGCTCACCCTTGTCTATCTGCACCATTGCTGCTCTTGTACAGTCTGGTCAGAACGTAAGCCTACCCTGGCTTTGATCCCTGTTGGAGCCCGGTAGGATCTTCTCATCTGGTTTATAGAGACACTAAGGCCCTCAGCTTAAGCAGTGAGTTAAAAATGCAGGCAGGAATCCACCTCATTCCAACCTGTGTGCATTCTAATTTTAATTAAGCTCTGCTTCATCTGAAGGTCAGGCCCTGGCCATGAACTCCTCCTTGGGCTTGCCTGAGCCTTTTCCC